AAAAAACCCCTACCCCAAACAAATTTCCACACAGTCAATCAACCAATCAACTATGGCTCAACTCCATACTAGTTAGAATTGGCTATATGAATCCCTTGTATCTCCCAATATGTTTAGTTCTACTTCAGGCCAATGCCAAATAATTTTTGTTTAAAGGCAAAAATGGGAATTCCCTAAAGCTAAAGGTTCGAAATTCACACTTATTCCTACACCAAATTACAATTCTCTAGCTAGAATAAAAGGACTCCCGTCAAACACCAAATGCTGTGAGTGTAACAACTACTCCTTTAATTTCGACTAGATATCATCTACTTGATCCATTCTTCCATTTACCATACCTTCGACATTTTTTCTATCACCAACTACCCCAAACTCTGCTGTTAAAGTTTAAAATATATTTACATCTCTGCTTCAATTCAAACTGCAAATAAAATAGTCCTTGTACATGCGCTAATATAAGAATATTGGCAATTTTTTTAATAATAAGTAGAAAAATTCGTAGAGTTCACCTAGTTAATAAATAGCATGCTCCATGTGTCACATATTGCTAGATTGATGTAGTCAAATTGGTTGTGCAAGTTTACCAAGTTAATAAATAGCATGCTCCATATATCACATTTACATGCTATTGTTGTATTAATGCAGTCAAATTGATTAAATTTTTTTACTGTTAATGCAGTCAAAATGATTAAATTTTTCTTACTGTTAATGCAGTCAAATTGAGTTTACTTCATCTCAAGTTCTGAAAGACAGACTATTGGGTCCATTACATCTGATCTGCAATGGAGAAACCTAATATGCTTTGTCATATATGCAGTTGGACTATAGCATCTATCCTGATATTGGTTCCTATAAATTCTTTACTACTTAGAGTGAATGGAGAAACCTAAAGTGCCACCTAAAAGGTACCATACGGAGCACCTTTTTTTATTTATAAGTAATTAAAATTTTTATAAGTACTTGCACTAAGCCAGTGCTAAAAGACATAATTACAAAAAGTGTAGTTCCTCTATTGTATCTAGAAATCCAACTTCATCATGTACAATAAGCAGGCAGCACCAGGTAACATAAGGAGCACTTAGCTAAGAGCTACAACATTCGCATACCCAGAGATACGAGCAGGTTTCCAAATCCAAAACTTCCATAAACCAAAAATGAGACACCTAAAGTAACAGATAGACCCACTTACAAGACAAGAAACATATAAAGTGAATATAGAAGCAGATGTGTTTGAAAACTTGGTTCGAGAAAATAAATAGTGACAAAAAGTTGTTATTGAGCCATAGAGAAACCATCCATTTAAGAACTTGCCTTAGCAATAGGAAAAGGAACATTCACATAGCGCGGCCATTCACGGATCATATCAAACATGAGCTCTGCCTGTTGCAAAATATGATCAGCAGAACTCCATTAAACAATTTAATTTAAAGAATGAGATACTAAAAACAGGAAAAGCAGTAAGGAAAGAGGACAATAGGGCAGATATTGACCAATTCATGCATAGTGTAAACATCTGGGCCACCAAGTTCATAAACTTTTCCCATGCTGATACCATTGTCTTTCAAAGAAGCAACAATTGCAGAAGCAACATCGGCAACGAATACAGGTTGAATTCTGCAAAAGCATTTCTAAGAGCATGAGCCATAGATGCTAAATAAATTCTCCCAGAATGACAATAAATTGTTGCGGACACATACTTTGTCGAACCATCTCCGAACAGAGGGATAAAACCATATTTCTTTGCAAAGTGTGCCCATGGATTCAGAATTCTATCTTCTGTACCAATCATCACTGCTGGACGCATTATGGTCACCTGAAGATGAGTGAGCAGATCAGCAACTTCACCCCAGAACAATGATTTAAATTTAAAACATTTGAGACTGGAGTAAGCACGTTGTAACTTGAAGAAATCAAACTAAATAAAGCAACCTAAGATATCCATCAGGCTATGACAATTTCCTTTCTTTTTATAAGCAAGCAAAAGGGAAATGGTTTTTACCTGCACATATACAAGGTTAGGGGAAAACTTCTTCAAATTCCTTTTCTGATAATAATTATGTTTACGTGGTGCAAAAACTTCCCAGTATACAACTGGAACTTCTTCCAATTCATTTTCCTCCTCACCTATTCCTCTCTGCTTCCCCCATGTTCTGTTTCAAGCCACTATGGCCCAGCATCTCACTGTGGTGACAATTTTTCCATCCAGTGGCCATAAAGTTGGTGGTGTGTTATACACCAAAACTGCTTCACCCTCATCCCCATCCCTGGTTGTTACTCTACCCCACTGGTCTTCACGACCAACTCCCGACTGTTGCTCCCTACTGCCGTTTGATTCCCCCCCCCCCCCACCCCACAACAAAAACCAAATTTCCCACTTACTATTAACCAATTCTCCATTTCCTTTCTCCAGGAACACCAGATCCTGCTCTGAGATCTACAATTTCTTTATAACTTAATTAGAATTCTTTGGAGTCATCTTCTTTTGTGTACCTTCTCGGTCCTATTTAATAAAATACATTTCCTTGATCAAGAAAAAAAAAATCACCTTTTGTAATTATTGTGATCTCAGTTATGTAACTAATAGAATTCTTTTTCTTCAGACAAATTGTCTTGCAGTTTTGATTTCATTTTCTATTACTTCTTATTTCTAGTCATTTACTGTAGTTTTTTGTCCTCTTTTTCTTCTTGGGCCTCTAGGGGTCGAAATGGGTGCAGGAAGTAATACAACTGATAAGTTCAACCTGAAATCAGAGAAAGAATCAAAAGCGAAAGGCACAGGAAAGCGCCAAATTTTGTTGGGGCTTTCCCGAAGCGAAATTAAATAAAAATAGATACAAGCAAAGCAAGGAAAGATAACTGCAAACACAATAACAACTTTGGATGAAAGAATTGAATAATTATAATTAAGCGAAATATACAAAGTAAACATTATGTCAATCAAGCTTAAAAGCCATTTTAAACTTATTTATTTAGATGAAAAGATGCATTCAGATTTGTGGAGAATGTTTTTCTTAATTTTTGATATCAAGATGCCTTTGAAAACTGGAGGCACGGAAAGTTCATAGAGCCATCAACAAGTTACTTCATCAAAAAAAAGTTCATAGAGCCATCAACAAGTTACTTCATCAAAAAAAAGTTCATAGAGCCATCAGGAGAATCTGGAGACTGATCCCTGTTAGCTTCTTTTGGTGTTTGTGGACAGAAAGGAATAGAAGGTGTTTTGATGGTGTATCAACTCCAAATCACTCTATTAAAGCTAGGTGCTTAATGTATCTCTTTAGTTTGGCACAATTTGTCCCCTGTAGATTCCCCTGACAATTCTTTGAACTTCGTCAGCTCCCTGGTCTTATATTAGCTTCTCATGTATTGGAGATCACTCATTTTTCGTTGGATTCTCTTTTATTCTACTTTTGCATCTTCTTGATGCCATCAATGAGCTTAATTCATAAAAAATTAAAGATGCAGTTCTATTTTGTTTNCCGCAGCTTTAGCTCTGAGCATTCTAGATGGGGATGTAGGAGACACCCCCAAGCAAGAAACTTGAATAAATCTGATGATACCACCGTGTTCTTTGGCTATCTGCCAACATAGGAAGTACATATTACTACAGACAAAATACTCTTCACAAACGATTTCAAAAGGAGCAGAAAACGGTGAATGTCACAGATCATCAAATGCAACCAGAAACATTGCAGACAAAAGAAGTACATGCTAGTACAGACAAAACACTCTTCATGAACAACTTCAAAAGAAAGAGCAGACAATAGTGAATGTAGTAGATCATTTAATTCTCTCTCTGTCATTTCCAGTACTTTAAACCAGAGTATATGTTAAGTCCTAGTCATCCATCTCTGGCGCAAACCTCAGAGCATCTTATTATAGCAACAAAGCTGACAGAAGAAAGGATCACTAATTTGCACGTCATTTGACGTGAAAATGGAAGCTAAGACATCAAGGTCGCCAGTGTCATGGTTGGTTATGGCAATGGCAAGAGATTGATGCAGACATTTAATTCTAAGAGAACCGATACTCTCTAGCCCATTTAGGATGTCATGAAAAAACAATTGTTTTCAATTAGTACAATAAGGGTGTAAAGTTACAACATATTTTGAGATTTGGAAATGATGATGATCTATTGATTAACAAAATTGTTCTGCGGTTGGTAAACTGCCTACGAGGGGATGACATAAGGGGACTGGGTAATTTACTTTTCCTGGTAAAGCATTTAACCCTTCCTACTTGTGTTGTTTGGTAGAACCAGAAGCAAAGTAAACGTGAATTTAATTTAAACGGGTTGGAAAGCATATGCAACCCTTCAATTTTCTTCTTTCCTTAGCTTAATCTCCGCATATAGGATAGACTCATGCCCTCCTCAACACTAACCAAAAATAGTGTGACTAAAAGGGTTGCAAATGATTTTCAAAAACCAACTGGATCAAATTAAACTTGAAATTTCTCCAAAATTAGTTGGTTTGGTCTTGAGAATGAAACAACCAACAAGTTTTTAGTTCCCTTGTTACTAAACTTCTTGTAAATAATTATGAAATCGTAATACCCAAACAAACAGTTATCTTCATCAAATTGCTCTCTATATATACACATAAAGTTGGCCATAGCCGAGGTGATGTGGTACCTCTTTTAGGACAAATTAAATAGAGTTCTTGGCCTATATACCCCCACACACACTTATATAATTGTGTAAAAATTAACAAAAAAAACCCAAAATTCATGTATATATAATTTAGTAGATATCTTAACGTGTTCAATTGGTTTTTCTTCCCCCATAATTCGTTTTGTTTCAGAACTGTTTCTTCTTTCATTTGCAATTAATAGCGTAACCTCGAGATTCATTATAAACAATTCATATTATGTCCATCTGAATATTCACCATCTAGCATAAATTTTGTTGTCTTTTTAAGGCATTTGCAACCCTTACATTTTCTTCTTTTTCTTTGTTAGACTCATGCCCTCCTCTACCCTAACCAAATATAGTGTGACTAAAGGGGTTGCTGATTTTCCTGAACCAACTGAATCCAAACCGAACTTGAAGTTTCTCCGAAATTAGTTGGTCTGGTCTTGAAAATGAAGCAACCAACAAATTTTTGTATAGGTCTCTCACAAATTCTTATTAGTTTCCTAGTTACTAAACTTCTAGTACATAATTATGAAAGGTAATACCCAAACAATTATCTTCATAAAATCTCTCTCTTTCTATATATAATGCTGGTCAAGGCCAAGGTAATATTGCATCTCTCTTAGGACAAGATAAATAGAGTTTTTGGCCTAAGAGAGGTGCCACATCACCTTGGCTATGACTAACTTTATATATAGAGATTAATAAAAAGTCCAAAAGTCATGTATATTTAATTTATTAGATATCTTAGCGATGTTGCTTTGGTTTCTCTTCCCCCATAAGTCATTTTGTTTCAAAATTGTTTCTTCTTTTATTTGCAATTAATAGTGTAACCTTGAGATTCATTACAGACAATTCATATTATGACCATCCGAATATTTGCCATCTTGCATAAAATTTTGTTAAATTTTCCAGGCATATGCAACCCTTCCATTTTCTTCTTTTCCTTTGCTTCGTCACCACACATAGGATAGACACATCCCTTTCTCTACCCTAACCAAAAATAGCGTGACTAAAGGGGTTGCAAATGATTTTCAAGAACCAACTGAATCAAATTGAACTTGAAATTTCTCCCAAATTAGGTTCCCTAGTCTTGAAAATAACAACCAACTTTTTATATACATTTCTTACAAGTTCTTCTTAGTTTCCTTGTTTCTGAACTTCTCGTAAATAATTATGAAAGGGTAATACCACACAATTATCTTCATTAAATCTCTCTCTCTCTCTCTATATATATATATATATATATATTCTCTCTAGTCTTTACATATATACAAAGAGCTGGTCATAGCCGAGGTAATGTGGCACCGTTCTTCAGACAAGATAAATAGAAATCATGGCCTAAAAGAAGTGCCACATCACCTTCGTTATAACGAGCTTTATATAATACACACACACATATAGAGAGAGAGATTAATAGAAAGTCCAAAACTTATTCATACTTAGTTTATTAGATATCTTAACGTGTTCATTTGGTTTCACTCCATAAGTCGTATTTGTTTCAAAACTGTTTTTTTCCTTTATTTGCAATTAATAATGTAACCTCATTTGGTTTCTCTCCATAAGTCGTATTTGTTTCAAAACTATTTTTTTTCCTTTATTTGCAATTAATAATGTAACCTCGGTATTACAAAATTTTCATATTATGGTCCATCCAAATATTTGCTATCTTGCATAAAATTTTGTTAAGCTTTTTGGGCATATGCAACCCTTTCCATTTTCTTCTTTTCCTTTGCTTCCTCACCGCACATAGGATATATTCATACCCACTCTATCCTAAGCAAAAATAGTGTGACAAAAGGGGTTGCAAATGATTTTCAAGAACCAACTGAATCCAAATCAAACTTGAAATTTCTCCAAAATTAGTTAGACTGCTCTTGAAAATGAAACAACCAACAAACTTTTGTATACACTTCTTATAAATTCTTCTTAGTATCCTTGTTACTGAACTTCTCATTACTTTTGGGTAATACCCAAACAATTGTCTTCATGAAATCTCTCTCTTTTTATATATATGTAGACATAACCAAAATGATGTGGCATTTCTCTCATACCACGATAAATAGAGTTCTTGGCCTAAGAGAGGTGCCACATTACCTTGGCTACATTAAATATATATATATATATATAATTCCAAAATTCGTTTATATTTAGCAAATTAGATATCTTAACGTGTTCATTTGGCTTCTCTTCCCCTATAAGCCGTTTTGTTTCAAGACTGTTTCTTCCTTTATTTGCAGCTAATAGTGTAACATCGAGATTCCTTACAAACAACTCATATTATGTCCATCTGAGAAAATAATATTTTTTGAGGCTGTCAAAATTTACATTACTTTAGGTAATGGCAAACTTTAGGTTCCGAAGATTTTTATGTTTTTACAAGGTAAATAATTTTATTAATAATGAGAGAATCTCCCATCTATAAGTAATCTAACAAAAAGTGGAGAATTCACAACAAAACATTTTAGTTGAAGGAATTTGTTTCTCTCCATTTTTTATAACTGAGAAATCACCAAGGGTTAGTGGCGCGTGGCGCACGATTCGAAGCTCAGTGGATCATCCTTTACCCTTCTCCACTTAGATACCAAGCCTTTATCTGTAACAGATACGAACCCGTGACATGCATCTAACCCGCACAGCATGTGTTGCGCTTTTATCACTAGATCAAAGCTTTTCGAGTTGTTGGAGGAATTTGTTATTATGCATATTTTAACTATCATATTTTAGTTGTACTCGTTAAAGCCTCTTTGATTAAAAAGTGAATCTTCTTTACATCCATAGTTATGTTCTTAGTAATTTGGCTCAAAAATCGTTTCCAAACAAAATATAATATAATAAACTGATTTTCTAAAAACTGATCAAAGACAGCGTGTTTTCACTACTCTTGGTTTGATTTTGGCTTTAAAATTTGAAGCCATTATGATTGGTTTGGACTTGGTCTTAGACACAAACTGGGCCACCTGAAATATGCACACCATAAAGTAAGCAAGCAACATCAGATTCATCATTTCATATCATGGCAATGATCATATCACCATCAATCTTATCATCTCCAGATTACATTTTTTATTATATATTTTTTTATGAGAAAGGTAATAATATTTCAAACATATAATTCCCACCCTATTAATGAAACTAAGTGAAAATTCATGTTCTTTGCTAGGTCAGAAGAATTCTATTTTCCACAAAGCGCACAAACTAGGATCAGAAAGGCAGATAAGCAGATAGGCAGATGCACTGTCAGTCTGCACACGCGTACACAGAACTTTATCTTTGTGAATCTGTTATATTGAACAATGACATACAAAAGGGGAAAAGAGAAACATTGAACAACAGAAGAAAAAGAGGTGTGTCCAAATAATACCAAAGTTCAAGTTAAGATAAACAACAGTATTGAGAACCACAGGATCTGTAAAGAGAAGATGATGATACCACTCTCAGAAACCAAAGGAACAAGTTGTAATAACTTGATGATTTAATTTTAGATTGTCTTCAAGTATTAATACCCAAGTTGACGCATTGGACAACATTTTACTTATCAAGAAACAGAAACAGGTCACCCAAAAAATGCAACGGACAGTATTTTCAAAATTAACATGAAGCTTACTTCAGTGATATTCACCTAATCTAAGTACAGAATAAAGCAATATAGCAACAGAACCTACCATTGCAAGCTGTTCAGCCATATGGTGGTTGACTTCCTCAAAGCTGTAATTTCTGGTCTCATATTCCCTTCCTGGAACCATAGAGTTAAAATTACCGCAATAATTAAAAAGATATCTTTGTGGACCACGAACTAAGAATTCTAGAAGACGTACCAATGAGATTGATCACAACATTAGCTTTTGCCATCACAGCTTTAACTGAATTTTCATCCCTGGGATTGTATTTCATAGGAACAATCTGGGCAAGTTAAACAAAGAGAGGCAGAAACCTCATAAAAATGAGAAGCACTTTCATAAGTAATCATAACTCATGTCTGTTCGCTTAAGATAAAGCTCAAACATTTAAAAAAATACTTAAAGAACAGATAACAATAAAATAAAAGAAGATCTATTATGGCAGCACAACTGTCAGTATACCTGTCCTAAGTCGCCCATTAACTTGAGATGACGAGGAGAATCCTCAGATCCACGGAAAGGAACCAAGACTTGAGTGCCCATTTTAGCTAAAAACCAAAAAAGGGAAAACAAGCACTATTTAGCTGAAGTAACTTCGTCCTATAGATGATACGATTTAAAGAGAAGGGAATATGAGGTTACCAAGCTCTTGGACGACATAACGCCCAAGAAATCCAGTAGCTCCAAAGACTGTAGCAACGATTCCACTACAAACAATGGATTCACAGAACATATAAAATTAACAAACACATACTTCTAATTGCACACATCAAAATGAAACAAAGAATCTGCACCAATAAAAACATGAAGAAAAAGCTACAACTCATCATGTAGGTATTCAAGAGAACCAATAAGCAAAAAGAACATGAAATCCCAAATCATACAACAACTATGACTTGATCCCAAACAAGCAAGTTAAAATGACAGTGAGTAAAAACGACAGACAAAAATCCATCACAGTATTAAGAAACGAAAATGATGTATCAAATTTAGTGGAATAGTATAAGATTACAAAAACTACTATCCTACCCTTCATCCCAAACGTTACGGTCGCTATATAAATTCCATATTTCCATTTTGCTCTATTTGAGGCCCCTTTCAATTCAATACTCATAATTTGACTCGTAAGACAAATACTCCATCCGTCCCATTTTATGTGATGTACTTTGATGGACACACTGACGCGTCACACTCAAGGAAAAGTGTCATGGTGTATGCTATTTGCAGATGACATGATTCTGATTGACGAGACGCGAGGTGGTGTTAATGAGAGGTTGGAGGTTTGGCGACATACCCTAGAATCTAAAGGTTTCAGGTTGAGCAGGACCAAGACCGAATACTTGGAATGTAAGTTCAGAAAGCGGACATTGATATGAGGTTTGATGCATAGGTCTTCCCAAGAGAAATAATTTCAAGTACCTTGGGACAGTAATACAGGAAAATAGGAGATGGATGAGGATAACACACATCGTATTGGAGCAGGGTGAATGAAATAGAGGTTTGCTTCTGGTGTCTTGTGTGATAAGAATGTACCACTAGAACTTAAAGGTAAGTTCTACAAATTCATGGTTAGACCGACTATATTGTATGGAGCGAAGTGTTGGCCAGTCAAGAACTCTCATAGTCAAAAGATGAAAGTAGCCGAAATGAGGATGTTCAGATGGATGTGCGGGCATACCAGATTAGATAAGATTAAGAATGAAGTTATTCGGTAAAAGGTGGGAGTGGCCCTCGTGGAGGATAAGACTCAGGAGGCGAGGATGAGATGGTTCGAACATGTGAAGAGGAGAAGCACAGATGCCCTAGTTAGGAGGTATGAGAGGTTGACCTTGGTGGATAGGAGGAGGAGTAGAGGTAGGCCGAAAAAGTATTAGGGAAAGGTGATTAGGCAGGACATGGTACAACTGGAGCTTACCGAGGACATGACCCTTGATAGGAGGGTGTGGAGGTCGAGAATTAGGGGGAAGGTTAGTAGGCAGTCGAGCATTTCCCTTTTTCTTCCTCAAACCGGTAGTATTAGTGTTAGCATGGTATCTCTTTATTCTTGAATTGCTGGTACAACCTACTGTTTGAGTGCTTTCTTTCGCCTTAGTTTTCTTAATATCTTGTTGTTGTTATCACTTGTTGTCACTGTTTTTTTTCATCTTGTCTTTAGCCGAGGGTCTATCGCATACAGTCTCTCTATCCTCCTAAGGTAAGGGTAAGGTATGCGTACACATTACCCTACCTAGACCCCACTTGTGGGAACTCACTGGCTTTGTTGTTCTTGTACTTTGATTGGGCACGGATTTTAAGAAAGAATGAAGATTATTGAAACTTGTGGTCTAAACAAACCATAGATATTTTTGTGTCTATAAATCGCCTCATTAAAGGTGAAATGGAAGTTTCAAGTTAAATTGTTTCTTTTTTAATTGATAAATTTAAAGTTAAATTATTTCTAAACATAGAAAAGTATCATTTTTTCGTACAGGCTAAAAAGAAAGTGCATCACATAAATTGGGACAAGGAGTAGTTATCCAAAGGTTATCAAAAGCAAGCAGTTATCTAAATCTAGAGATCAAATCTTAAACATATCCCTACACAGGAAAACACTCGACCAAATGCAAATGTACCAATTTGATTAAACCACTGTCTCAACAAGTTGGTACCATCTATACACACATATGAAATAAGATTAAAAACAAGAATAAAACCCAGAAATAAAAAGAAAAAGGTTTGACGTATGGAATTTTACCTAACAGATGATCTTCCACCAGTTCCCTTGCGAGCTAGATGTCCGCCACCACTGGTGGCAACATTAGATGCGAACCGCGAACCACAATCTGAAATAATAGAATGCGCTCAACAATTTAAAAAAAACACTAGAACTCAATCCGATAAGAGATCACCGCTTTTAGGAAAATTCATAGAAAAAATGAAAACTTTAGTTGCCCTAGAAATGCGTAAAGAGGGGAGAAACGATACATACAGTGATCATCAGAGGGGGGGTAGAGAGACTTGAAAGATGAAATTGCAGGTGAATGTTTCAGAGATTGGTGCCCTAATTTTCTCGTGATTGCCTGCATCTTGTTCTCAGCCGAGCTCGAGATGGATACCGGCGCTGTTTGGAAATTGCGAAAAAAGGTGTACCGAAGCTGTTAGGAAAATTTATATTATCTCACCGAATTACGGTAGCGGTAAATAAAGTATTACCCGGTCACTCTATCGTAGTAATTGAGTGGAGCTCATTTCTAATACTTTTAATGTGTTTAGAATCTTTTTATATCGCCTAAGAGGTAGAAATAAGTTATTCTATAATTTATTATTTTGGGATTAGTTATATTGTTTTTTATAGAGATCAGATAAAAAAAAATACTAAAATCCTGGAATAATTAATTTCGAGATTAGTTATATCACGATTTTATTCCAACCAAACGTAGATAATCTCATCTCAAATTTAATTCCGAAAATTAGTTATACTCCGATTTTATTCCAACCAAACATGAGATAACTCATATCAAATTTAATTTCAGAATTAATTATTTCTTATACCTCGTATCAAAAAAGCCCTAAATTTATAATTTTGACCTTCCGTAAACCGCTTATAAAAATGATATGACATGTTTAATACTTCAAAATATAAAGTTTATTTGGTCAAACTTTTCAAATCGGCTTATTTTTTAAAGAAAAAAATCTCAAAGTTGTTTGGTTGAAAAGCAATTTGTATTTAGCTAATTAATTTGAAAAGTACTTTTGAGCAGCAATTAGTGTTTGACGAAACTTTTAAAAAGTGCTTCTAAGTATTCTCAAAAGTGCTTTCGGAAAAAAACTACATTTTTGTGTTTCTCAAAAACTACTTTTGCTTTCACTCAAAAAAAAATTTCTTTCTAAAAGTCTGGCCAAAATGAAATAACCCCTTTTTGATATTTTTTTTCACAACACTACAATACCGCTCGAACTCTATATATTTTACCTCACATAGTATTTTCTTCTTATTTTGTGAACTCTCTCTTACTCTATCAATTTGGTGTGTCTGACAACTGGAGGAGAACTTCCTTATTGATAGAGGTGAAGAACCTCTCAAAGATGTTAGTGGTGATATCAGTAATAGTAAACTTAACCAAACTTATCTTCATTCCTTTGTTGACTTTTCCTTGCCAGACAAATCTTTATTTGACAAGCTTGGATTTGGATCATGCAGGCTTTGCCAAAGGAAAGCTCTTCCTTTCACATGAGATTTATGGGATAGACCCCATAAATCTCGCCCTCTAGCCTCATGCACCTGAAGGAAATATCTCCAGTTTTTTGATAAAGAGTTTATGCCGACAAGTTTTTTGCATAGCTCGAACTTATCTCTTGGTATCACCTTAGTGAGCATATCCGCGGGATTTTCACTCGTGTGAATATTTTTGACGTGCAAAGATTCGTTCTTTACTTGCTCACGAATCCAATAATATCTCACATCGATATGCTTTGTCCTTGCATGGTATATGGAGTTCTTGGTCAAGTCTATTGCACTTTGACTGTCACAATAAACGACATACTCCTCTTGATGCAATCCAAGCTCTTGAAGAAATAGTTTAAGCAATATCATCTCCTTGCCAGCTTCAGTAGCGTAATGTACTCCGCTTCAGTTGTAGAGAGTGCAACACACTTTTGCAACCTCGATTGCCATGATATAGATCCCCTTGAAAATGTGAAAAAATATCCATTAGTGGATGTTCTATTATCATGTCACCTACTATATCAGCATCTCATAGCCCTTCAAGATTGGATCAGATCCTCCAAAATACAAATAGTCTCCTACGGTACCTCTCAGGTACCTGAGTATCCACTTGATTGCTTCCCAGTGTTCTTTTCCATGATTTTCGAGAAACCTACTAACTACATGAGTAATACCAGGTCTGGTGCATACCATTGCATATATCAGGCTTCCGACTGCTGAAGAATATGTAACTCTAGCCATGCTCTCTTTTTCCTCGCTTGTTGTAGAACACATCTTCTCGCTCAACTTCAGATGACTAACAAGAGGTGTGCTGATTGGATTAGTACTCGTCATGTTGAAGTGTTCCAGTACACATTCAATGTACTTATCTTGATACAACCACACCTTTCTACTTGTTCGCTCGCGAACTATCTTCATCCCTAGATTTTGTTGTGTTGGGCCCAAGTTCTTCATATCAAATGACTTGGATGAATCTCTCTTCAACTTTGCAATCAGCTCCTTATCTTTTCCTAAAATTAACATGTCATCCACATACAACAACAAAATAATAAAGTCGTTGCCAGAAAAGTTTTTGAAGTATACACATGGATCAGAATATATCTTTATGTAAGTTTGACTTTTCATGAATTAGTCAAATTTCTTGTACCATTGCCTTGGTGCATGCTTTAACCCATAAAGACTCTTGTTCATTTTGCACACCATGTGTTTCTTTCCAACTGATTCAAATCCTTCTGGTTGTTCCATATAAATCTCCTCTTCCACATTTTCGTGAAGAAACACAGTTTTCACGTCCAACTGTTCCATCTCAAGATCTAGGCTAGTTGCTAAGCTCAAAATTGTTCGAATAAAAGTCATTTTGATAACATGTGAGAATATTTTTTCAAAATCAATACCTTTATTATGTTTGAATCCATTTACCACCAATCGAGCTTTGTATATGAACAACTTGATATTTCCATATTTTTGAGTTTAAAGACCCATTTGCATTTGAGTGGTCTTTTACCCTTTGGAAGTTCAACCAGCTTGTACGTAGTGTTCTTCTGTAGAGATTCCATCTCTTTTTGCATGGCCTTTATCCATTGGTTCTTTTCTGGATAGGACATCACCTCCTTAGACTTTCTGGCTCCCCCTTATCACTGATGAGGACATACTCTATGGAAGAGTACCTACATGACTCTACCCTTGGCCCTTTTAAGCTCCTCAAAGGTTGAGGTTGTTCGTGGGGTACTCCATTTGCTCGACATCATCGTCAATTTACCCCCCCCTCAATAACCTCCTCAGGTTGCTCTCGCATGCTCGACAATCTCGTCGGTTCTACTTTCTGCACTTGTGGGATTATTAGAAGTAGAAGGAATAGTAATAGGGTTAGGGATTATACCACTTTTGGCCTTCTCTGACTGATCATCTGCAGTTCTAACTTCACTTTCTCGGAAGATTACATCTCTACTTCTCACGAACTTCTTCTTCATAGGATCCCATAGTCTATATCCGAACTTTTCATCTCCACATCCGAATATGCAGAGAACAAATTTATCATCCAACTTTCTTCTCTGCTCCTTTGGTATATGTGCAAAAGCTATACAATCAAATACCTTCATATGTGAGTAGGATACCTCCTTTTTGGTCCAAACTCTCTATGAGATGTCAAACTCCAATAGAACTGATGGATTAATATTAATCAGGAAATAAGTTCTCTAAACTTCTTCACCCCAGAATGACTTAGGAAGTTTAGCCATTCTGAGCATGCTTATCCCATTCTCAATAATGGTGTAGTTCATTCTCTCAGCTACACCACTGTGTTGTGGGGTTCCAGGAACTGTCTTTTCATGTCTGATCTCATAGCTCGAACAATACTCTTTAAATTTCCTTGAAGTGTACTCACTTCCATAGTTAGTTTAGAGATGCTTTAGCTTTCGACCTGTCTCCCTTTTCACAAGAGCATGGAACTTCTGAAAAACTTGAAACACCTGATATGTGATTTTCAAGATATAAACCCACTCATGAATCATCATCAATAAAAGTAATAAAATATTTACTACCGCCCATCGATTTTGTCTCTATTGGACCACAAATATCAGAATGCACCAAATCAAGTATATTCAATTTTCTTTCAGACGATGTCTAAAATGAGACTCTATGTTGTTTACCAAATAAACAGTAGTCACAAGTACCGTTGTACCTTTCGCAAAAGAGACGAGTGATTTTCTGGTAAGAATCTACAATCCCTTCTCACTCATATGACACATTCTTTTGTGCCACAAATCTACAGAAATCTTACATTGTGCGGCATTTATCATGTACAATGTGCCACGAGCAACTCCCTTTGCAATCACCAATGATCCCTTGGTGAGTCTCCACTTTTGATTTACAAAATAATTCTCGTATATATCTCGGTCCAAAGATATTCCCGAGATTAAGTTCATCTACAAATCAGGTACATGTCGCATGTCTTTTAGAACCAATGTGCATCCGAATTTGTCTTAATACAAATGTCACTGATCCCCGCAATCTATGAGTAACTCATGTTACCCATTCTCACAGTGCTAAAATCACCTGCTACATAGCTGCAAAAAAATTCTCTTATATGCATGCATGGTAAGATGCCTTTATGTCAACCACTCATTCCGACTCTGGACCTGCCAAGTGCATGCATTCATCTTCCTCGTTTATAAAGAGAACATCATTATTATTATTTTGCACCATGGTGGTTGAGTTGTCGTCATTCTTCTGACCACTGTTTTACTTTTACCCTTTCTTAGATTTGGACAATCTCTTTTGAAGTTACCCGATTGATCGCAATTGTAGCAATTTCTTGCTTTTGAGTTGGATCAGTTCTTGGAATTCCTATGAACTCCCAATCGACCATAGTTGATCGAACTCCTTTGGTAACTCTTACCTCTACCTCGTGTGATGAGAGCATGTCCTTGATTTTCAAGCTTCTTTCTCATTTTCTCATTGAGTAGAAGAGCCGATGTGACGTCCTTTAACTCAATAGTGGTTTTACCGTGCATGATAGTTTTTGCCAAATTTTGTATGAAGATGGCAATGAGTTCAAGAGCAAGATGGCTTTATCCTCTTCCTCTATATTTACTCCAAGATTGGAAAGCTGCGTGATTACTCCATTAAATACATTAAAATGTGACAAATTTGTACTTTCACCCATATATAGGGTGTATAATTGCTTCTTAAGATACAATTCATTGTCACCGTTTTGGAAATATATAGGTTTTCTAACCTTGTCCAAATGCCACATACAGTGTCTTCATCAATGATGTTACTTACCACATCATCTAATAAGTGCAACCTGATTGCACTAGCAGTTTTTTCATCCAAGTCAGCCTAATCCTCAGCTTTTATGGTATCAGGTTTCTTGGCATCACTGTCTAACACCTTGTGTAATCCTTGTTGGATTAGTAGATCTCTCATCCTTCTTTGTCATGTTGAGAAATAACTATCTATGTTGAATTTTACAACTTGATACTTTTCTCCGGATATTTTATTTTTCCATCGAGTATAGTACTACCGACCGTGAAGAGTATTCATGTGAACGAGTAGAACATGTGCTTTGATACCAGTTGTTGGAAAAAAATAACTCTCGTAGAAATAATATTCACGGTATATAACTGTAATAAATGTGGATTACTAAAAATACAATAGCCAACAATAATAATAAGAGAAACAAGATCACCGAGATTTTTGCATGGAAAATGATCACGCCCAACTATGCCCTCTAAAAAGGACTCTGCGGACGTTGCAAATATAACCCGAGTATTACGCTCAGGGTCGAATCCACAGAGAGTTAACCTATCAATCACTATCTTTAGACCCACTAAACTCTTGAGAACCAATTTTTCAAACGTTGAATGACAGTTGATGGTGTCTTTAATAACTAAAATTGCAAGTAAATAAACAACTGCAAATTAAGGATGTTAAGGTTGTAAACAATAATGAGAAAACGCTAAGGTAATGACTTCCCCTAATGATGGAATCCCTTCTGTTTATGCTTCATACAAATTTACCAACACACCTCTATCAATCATGAACGCTCATCTTACCGCAAATCTCTCCCGAGTAATCACAGTAATATACTCAATGCACTCTCCNATGCTAAGGTTGTAAACAATAATGAGAAAATGCTAAGGTAATGACTTCCCCTAATGATGGAATCCCTTCTGTTTATGCTTCATACAAATTTACCAACACACCTCTATCAATCATGAACGCTCATCTTACCGCAAATCTCTCCCGAGTAATCACAGTAATATACTCAATGCACTCTCCCGAGATACACTAGCTAGCTTTAATTAACACAGTTCACTTCAGATTGCACTCAAGGCTTTGTTATCCCTAATCCCGCCTTTAAACCCGCATTTATAGATCCCTCTTATACTTTGGGAGTAGTGTTGTTCAACAATAGCCTAAATATGCACTCTCTCCCGAGTTATGCACACTAAATAGGCACAACTAATTGAGGAT